ATTTCAACAAAACTTCACTATAAAAAAATAGTGAAATTTTGTTGAAATCAGTAGTGTTTCTTATTATCTTGCACACTTTTTTCTATGTTTTTACACTCAGAATGCTTTAAAAATTCCATTTACAAGACAATTGTTCATAATAAAATTCTATTCAATCGGTAGGCTGGGACTTCATTTCTATCTCCATCACCTCCACCATATATATATATATATATATATATATATATATATATATATATATATATATATATATATATGTATGTATGTATGTATATATATATATATGGGTTCTATATGGGTTTGGAGAAAGACAGCTCTAAATTCAAAGCCTGCGGAGGGTCGTTTGTGGACCTTGTGGCACATAGTGCACCAGGTCTCTGTATTCGGCTCTTCAAAATCTGTAGTTGGTTCTGCACAAATCCTTCACCACTATAATCAAATCAAATTCTTAGGAAATGAGTTGCTTGACCTCATACGTCGATACGACGACGGGAGAATCCAACATATATATATATATATATATATGTGTGTGTGTGTGTGTGTGTGTGTGTGTGTGTGTGTGTTTGTGTGTGTGTGTTTGTGTGTGCGCGCGCGCCCGTACGTAAGTGTGTACGTAAGTGTGTGTGTTCTCCAAGAGATGTCAAATATAGCTATCAACATCCGAGTTTAGGTTCCATCAAGATTAAACAAGGGTTTCATTTTAGTTAATATCCACGCAGTGGCACCAAACATTAAAACCGACTCTGCAGTGGCGCGAACGAAACTCTGTGGTTGTCTGCTAAATCAGATTTTCATATCCATTTTATTGAAGAAGGTCCAGGTTTTAGCTATGCTGATTTTCACCTCCTTTTCTCTAGAATTTATTTCGCTTCCTAGATATGTAAAAGATTCGGCAGATGTTATTGATTCTCCTGAAGCATTTTGTATTGAGCTTTGCTGTTGGAAGCTTATAAATTCAGTTTTAGAGGCATTGACATTGAGTTCTTTAGCAGCATTTTCTAGATGATGTCGGATAACTTTGACATTGGTAATGGTGTCTGAAGCGGCATAGTCAATATCGGTCAACATTTTTACAGGATATCGACTTGAGAGTCTTGGTGATAAAGTAAAAACTAGAGAATGATGTTTGCTACAAAACTATGGACCTATCCCTGATATTTCTACAAAGTTATGTGAACTCAGAATGCGCTTTTCTGGACACTGCTGGAGAGCAAAACAGGAACTTGTGAGTGATCTACTGCTCTGGTCAACTAGCCATGGCATAAGACCGGTTGATCGCATAGCAATTACCTAAATAATCCAATTATGTTACGACACCTTCGACAGCCTTCCGATCTAGATTGATGCAGGACCCTGATGGTTGCTATGATAGACTCATTAATATCCAAGCTAGTTCAAGTGAATATATCTATATCTATCTATTTTATATATAAGTGAACATAGAAGTCAGGACGATTGCTTCTAGCATGAAACAGACTGTCGCCTCTAAGTGTTGACTTCTATGTTCACTTTTATATTTACACACGCCCTATCTCTGATATTGAGCACTTTATCCCATAAATATAGCACATCTTAAGACTATATTTATTCATATCTATATATATATATATATATATCTGTGTGTGTATATATATATATATATATATATATATATATATATATATATATATATATATATATATTAAAAAATGGACAAAGTCCGACAATTTATTTATTAAAGACATTTTTATGTTTAACGTTCTTTTTATAGATACAAGTATTTAAGTAAATTTATAATAATTTCTCGGGCATTCAGGCCGGTAAATGTTATTTAATACTGTTTATTATAAACAGAGCATTTACTTAAATACTTGTATCTATAAAAAGAACGTTAAACACAAAAATGTCTTTAATAAATAAATTGTCGGACTTTGTCAATTTCTTAATATATGACGTCATTTGTTTACATTTGATACGCCATGTGCAGTTATGAATGTACGAGATTCATGGAAGATTGAAGTTTATAAGCAGTAAATTCAACATTGCCTTTGTGGCCGAGCGGTCCAGGCACGTCAGCGTTAATAACGGTTCCGTATAGGAGGTTCGAATCCTGTCAAAGGGCGAATATTTTCTATGAAAATTTCTCGCACATTTAGGCCGGTAAATGTTATTTAATACTGTTTATTATAAACAGAGCATTTACTTAAATACTTGTATCTATGAAAAGAACGTTAAACATAGAAATGTCTTTAATTAATATATATATTGTTACCTCATACGTCGATATAAACCTTATTTTTTATCTCAAATGTTCACTGAATGTAAGCTTCGATTCAGGAGATTAATATTCATGTTAATCACACTGAAAAGAAGCATGTTAAGTTGAAAAATAAATATTTGTTGTATAAAATATAATCGGTTCTCTTCATTCGACTACGACCTTATTGAAATGGCAAAGAAGGGTTTGTTAGCTTGTTCACTAGATAGATAGATATATAATGAACAGACTGAAATAGATAGATATGCGCATAGATAGATAGATAGACAGATAGATAGATAGATAGATAGATAGATAGATTGGGTTTCATGCAGTAGAGTAGTGATTAAATCGTTAACAAGCTAATTTCACAAACAATACCCAAGTCAAAAAGATAGGCATAATTATGATTTACAATATGACCAAAAAGGTAGATCGTGACCCGTTGTTACACTAGAATTAAATAAATATTCATGGGTCCGGTTTAAACTTGAAGGAAAACAGCTAGATATGTGTCCGGTTAACAGTTGTGTCGAAAATTATGGCGAGGTTCCGCTTTACATTAGAGTCAAAAAGGTAAAGATCGGTTCCGTTTACGCTAGGATAAAAACGCTCAACAGTGAAAACCTAGACATAGTTCCAGTATACGCTGCAATAAAAAAAAACAAAAAACGAATGGCATAGTCTAAATTAACATTTGAATAAAAAAGGTAGATGTAATTTCGGTTTGAAATGGTCAAAAAGGTAGACATTGGTGCCATTTACACTTGAGTTAGAAAAGATCGCTATAGTTCCGGTTTACACTAGAGTCAAAACGGTCGAGGTAGGTTTGGTATATAGTATAAATAAAAAGGTAAAAATAGGTCCGATTAAGACTATAATAATAAAATGTAGATATTAGTCCGGTTTGCACAAGTGAAAAAGTAGATATAGGTATAATATACACAACACTCAAAAAGGTAATTATGGTCCAAGTTAATACCTGAAACTGGAAGGTGAACGTAGTTTCGATTTAAAATTGTAAAAAAAAAAAGATATTGGTCCTATTAACACATGAGTTGGAAAAGGTAGCTAGTTTCACTGTACGCTAGAGACAGACATGTAGACATCTTTTCGGTACGCAATATAATCAAAAAGATAAAAATTGTCTTAACCCTTTCAGCCCTGCGTCTCTGAACAATTTTAACAATTCTTCCTGAGTCAAAATTCGCAAATAATTGGTAAGTAATGTTTCACGATAGATATAAAAGTAGTTACAAGTGTTTGCCCACCGTTCAACCGGTAGCTAGGCATTAAGTCTGAATGATCGATGGTCAGTTTCTTTGAACGGACATCAACAGGTCAGTCAAGCTAGATACAAATCAACCCATGGGGGGCTGTTTCATTCTGCGAAAGCTCCAGCACACCAAGAAATCTGGGATCGGAAGCCATCTTCTATCCTCTATCCTTGCAGGACTACTAATATGCTCCGTTCGTTTTTTTACTCCGATATATATATATATATATATATATATATATATATATATATATATATATATATATATATATATATATATATAAAACTTCCTTTAAAGCAGTACCTGTTTCTCTTTATCTTAGTCCAGCAGCCATTTCTATAAAGGCTTATTGGCATTACATAGCAGATTCGGATTTTTATTTTTGTTTCTAACAAAACTCTTCTATTTCTTTGTTCGATCTTCAGATTTTGAAACTCATTTTTCGCTACTCTAATGCGCTTTTATATTTCTGCTTTACATTTTCTATTACTCAACAATGATCATTTATCACTTCTTTAATCCCTTGAGCCACGTGTTCCTGAACAATTTTAATCATTCTTCCCGAGCCCCCGAGTCAAAATTCGCAAATAATTGGTATGTAATGTTTCACGATAGATATAAAAATAGTTACAAGTGTGTTATATAGGAATAAAGTGTCGCATTCGACACTTGAGCTTGAATACAGATCGCCAGTGAGCGAACACAGGCGATCATATAATTGAATTAAGTAGACCACACAACCATAGTTGAAACGCATGTATGGGATGTAGCGTGCGTTTAATGGATGATCGTTATTTCTCTTCTATCCTCTATTAATATTCAGATCGTTATTTCTATTCTCTACTCAATTCACACTGCACTATTTCTCTATTCGGATCACTATACGGATTACTGTTCTAGCGAGTATTATCGAGCAAGTACTATTAGTGCGAGATTATTCGAAGGCGTCTGACATCAGTATTGTTCAACGGCGTTACTATAGCTGTATCTGCGATTACAAAGTCTCTGCTACAACGAGCATTTACGAAAGTGACAACGAGAGTTTGTTGACATTACAAAAGTGTCAAACGAGTGTTCGTTGACATCACAAAAAAGTGTTTATCCACCGTTCAACTGGTAGCTGGACATTAAATCATTTTTCTCTACCACTGTTCAACCGGTGGCTGTGCATAACGCCATTTTTCTGCTAAAGCGTTTGTCAGGGCTCAAACTGTTAATAGTCCTTTATTTTCGCTTTCCATTAATACTATGCTCAAATCTTTTATTTTTAAATTTCGTTCTTAGTCTGTCAACAACATCGTGTCATCTATGTATCTCAGTGGCAAGAAAAAAGTTATAAAAATGTTTTTATTAATTTCAGTTCGATATGTAGAAGGCGAACATGTACTACCGACTTTTGCTCTTATTTAGAGGTGGATACTTAAGAGGTGATTTGGTTTGTTTTACGGCATATCAACCTCAATGGATTAATGCCGACAAGATTTTTAATGCTTGTAATATTTTTTTATCTATCTATCTATCTATCTATCTATCTATCTATCTATCTATCTATCTCAATATATATTGATTTGGTTTGGTTTGTTTTGTTTTACGGCATATCAACCTCAATGGGTTATTTAATGCGGACAAGATTTTTATTGCTGCTAATATTATCTATCTATCTATCTATCTATCTATCTATCTATCTATCTATCTATCTCATTATATATTGATTTGGGTGGTTTGTTTTGTTTTACGGCATATCAACCTCAATGGATTAATGCCGACAAGATTTTTAATGCTTGTAATATTTTTTTATCTATCTATCTATCTATCTATCTATCTATCTATCTATCTATCTCAATATATATTGATTTGGTTTGGTTTGTTTTGTTTTACGGCATATCAACCTCAATGGGTTATTTAATGCGGACAAGACTTTTATTGCTGCTAATATTATCTATCTATCTATCTATCTATCTATCTATCTATCTATCTCATTATATATTGATTTGGGTGGTTTGTTTTGTTTTACGGCATATCAACCTCAATGGTTTATTTAATGCGGACAAGACTTTTATTGCTGCTAATATTATCTATCTATCTATCTATCTATCTATCTCAATATATATTGATTTGGTTTGGTTTGTTTTGTTTTACGGCATATCAACCTCAATGGGTTATTTAATGCGGACAAGACTTTATTGTTGCTAATATTATCTCTATCTATCTATCTATCTATCTATCTATCTATCTATCTCATTATATATTGATTTGGGTGGTTTGTTTTGTTTTACGGCATATCAACCTCAATGGTTTATTTAATGCGGACAAGACTTTTATTGCTGCTAATACTATCTATCTATCTATCTATCTATCTATCTATCTATCTCAGTATATATTGATTTGGGTTGGTTTGTTTTACGGCATACCAACCTCAATGGATTATTAAATGCCGACAATATTTTTATTATTGGTGATATTTTTTCTTCAAAAATATATCACTGGTAAAATGATTTTTCCAAAAAGTATGGTTGGTATTATAATCTTTTGTTTAATACTTTCATTGTGTTTTGACTCCATTTTGAGGGGTTAACTATTTGCCCATAGCTGGAACCCTAACAGTCTGTGTCAGGGTGGACCTGGAAATACCAGAAATTAAGAGGTGGTTCCACGCTTCTCAGAACCTGATCAGAGGCCTTGCTGTTGAACGTCGTTTATCGTCTTACCCAGGACGCGGATGTAGTTTATCGTCATACACAGGACGAGCTATTATGTAGAAAGCAAATAAACAACACTATAGGCGATAATACTAACTGCAAAAGCAAACCATAAATATATAGATGGTAATGGTAATATTAGCCGTTTCCATGTAATCATATTTTCGGTATTCATTGACCGATCAGTTAGTGCGACTATCGGTTGAAATGAAAATTCTTTCTATTAAAAATCGGATTTTCAGGTCAGTTCATCGCACTTTCCAGTACGGTTTCTTGTTTGAAGTAGTGTGGGAGTTTGGCATCATTCTCTCTTCTAGATACATGTGTTATCCATTTTATTTGTTGCAGTTCTTGAAGGTATTCAAGTGATATTGATAGTCCTCGCTAGGACTTACATGCTACATATACCATTTTAGTAATTGATATGAGAAAGCGTTTGTATATAGCTGTTTTGAGATATTTCTGAACGAGTTTAGTGGCATGCATGAGTTCCATATGAAAGTCTCGTTTGGAGACACATGTACGTAGTGTAAAGGTCTGCAAGCTTGTCTTGCTAGACTGAGTAGCGAGTTTGATCCTTACAGTGTGCTCCACACATTCGACCTTGTGACACATCTAAGCTACGCTTACAAAATTTGGGCACCTCGCCGAGGTGTAGTCATTAGCAAGCTTGTCTCGCTAGATCAATTATGACTGATTATCATCTTCGATCCTCACTGTCTGCCCCATACTTTCGATATTGTACCACGGCTAAGCTACGCTTAGAAATGCGTCACTTCCAGTGGTGTTATGGCTAACAAGCTTGTTTTGCTAGATGACTTATGACTGAATAGTGAGTTAGATCCTTACTGGGCGCCACATTACTTTCGGCCTTGTGTCATATCTAAGCTATGCTTAAAAAAACAGTCTCGTCAGATCGAAACTAAAGGATTCTTGATTAAAGCATCTGTGTTTGGATAATTTTTAAGAACTTTGTGCATATTCTGTGGGACTTTTCACCTTATCTGCAAATGGTCATCGCTTAATGGCATTAGGTGGCCTTATATGCAGGACTATAACCCCTCTCTCACTCCTCCTCTCTTCCCCCTCTCCATCTCTCTCTTCCTTTCTCCCCTATCTCTCCCACTCCTCTCTCTTCCTTTTATCCCCTCTCTCTCCCACTCTCTCTCTCTCTTCCTTTCTCCCCTCTCTCTCCCACTCTCCCCCTCTCTCTCTCTTCCTTTCTCCTCTCCCTCTCTCACTCTCTCTCTTTCACCCATAGGATATGGTAGATACAAGACGTCATCAGTAACAAACCGTAACGTCTCCTACTAAAAATCTCTGTAAGTGTTTACAAGCCAGGTGATTTTAGCAATTCTGGTTCCATTAACACCTGTCACTCGTTTACGATTAATTGCCATTTCTGTTTCTTCTTTTTGCCGTGTCCTTTCAGGACGTAGGACATTATGCTTCTCCACAACAACATATCTCATGCAGCCCCTAACAACCCTTGCTATTTTGCCAAACCTTCTGATATGTCCCGGAAAGGGATATATTTGAACGAAGTAGCTTAGTGGTTTTGGTTACTATAACCAAGTAGAATATGGTAGCAGTAATCGACGGGTACGCGTCGTAGTCGCAAGTAAGAAATGTAGATCAATGGCGTAGTCCAATGGTCGTCGTTATAGACTTAGCTCTCAGACTAAAGCTCTGACTATCGAGCCTACACGTCCGTCGGTATTTATGATGGACACCAGCCAATCATATTCCAGTGAGGGGGGAACACAGGTGTATGCATATTCCATTATATCACCTTCCTTCGTTCCGCTTTCCATTCAGAGAATCAAGTCAGGTAGGTGGACCACTGCCTTCCCTTCCTCAATATGTCCCTATGGCGATCAAATTCTTTTATTAACTAATGTTCACAAAATACAAAGCCTAAGAGCCACTCAAGTTAGAGGGTTATTGTGTGGTGTTGTATGAGCGTAAGAAATGGCAAGAAGTGAAGTTCTTGGAGGCTATGCGGGAAAGAAAATGGCTAACTCCTAAAGATACTAAATGGACGGGAAAGAAAGAGCTAACCATCAATTGTGAGAAAACACAGTATATGTTTGTCAGTAAGACGATCACCCCAGGATGCGAGTTACGATTTGGAGATATCAAACTCATGCAAGTACTAAAATGTAAATATCTGGGATTTTTTTTAACAGAAACCCCAAAATGTAATACTGAAATTCAACCTTCGTCCTAGGTATAACAATAAACTAAATCCGGCAGCAAGGCCTCTGACTGGAACATCTCTTAATTGCTGTTGTCCCCAGGGTGGAAGCACCAGTTAGGGTCCCGGCTATGGGCAAGTAGGGAACACCCAAGCTGGGATAAAAACATTAACATGTAAAAATACATTAGAAAAAATGTTTTTGAAAGTGGGGATTGCCAAAGTTCACAAGAAAATTAAATTTAATTTTAAAAAGGACCTATAAGGAATTGATATTCCGTTAATAATCCAAACCAAAATCCAAAAGCACACTTGAATAGTGAATGCGACCTTCTCTACACTGTTGAATATGTGCTCGTCCATCCTCAATGAGTAGAATGCCTGCTGATAGGAACGGTCGTAATGCGCAGCGTTTGTGTCGTACGCATTGCCGCACTGAACTACGGTTTTCTCTATTACTGTATTATTAATCCATGTCTCTTATGTGATTACACCTTTTCTTCACTCAAACTTTTATTCCGGTGTTTCTTTACGGTATTATGAACCAGAACTACGAGTGTTATACAAATTTTATAAAACTCCCAAAAAACAAAACCAACGTATTAAGAAACAGGAAATTTTCATTAGAAACAAATAAAGACGTGTTCAGCTGCTATGTAATATCAGTCTTCCTATATGGCATAATCAAGGATGAGAAGAAGAATAGAAACAACCTCCTGAGCGACAAACAGTATACTTTTCGCTCCTTTTAGTTCCACTGCTGATCTCTTAACTATTATCACCTATAGAATGAGTGATGTACTTAATAATAAACATATCTCGAGAGTGATCACCTTAGATATCTTCGACAAGGTGTGACAGAGGATTGCTGCACAAACTCCCCAGCTAGAGAATATCTGAGAAACAGCATTTAAAAATTTATCTATTAAAAAAAATAAAAATTAATTAAAAGTTTATAAAAAAAATGAAAAGAAAAGAAGTATTAATTACAAGTTTATAAATCTGATATTAATTATAGATTCCTGTTTCAAAAAATAGATCGGTGGCCATTGATAGATTAACAAGAGATATACACTTTGATGACGTCTGGAGTGGCTCAACGCTGATCAAGCCGATGTTAATTAGCTTGGTTTTCGCTGCGTTCTCTAATATTCTGGGTTTACGTCAGACTACTTTGCTGAGTAAATGTCTATACTTTGAGAAAAAAAAAGCAGTTACAGGTTGTGGTTAGGTATATATAATTTATTGAACGGATTAGCTTGGAAATTGGGGTCAATGTGGGTTGGTCGTCAGCAGGGGGTATATTAAAACATGCAACTTGCCGTTACAGTTCTCTGCAGCTCTAAGGAGACAGGGATAATTTTCGAACCCCGCCGCACCGTGACTACATTCAAGGGCCTTACCCTTTTTTGGTGCCAATTCTGACTTGGCACTCTAGTGCTGACCAAGTAAATTAAAAGCTATTAAGTACTCTGTCAATATCCGAAACGCGCGGCTATTTCCTTGTTCTCCATGTCACTATTGTACTACCATAGACATGCACAGCTTTTGTCGCTTGTTAACCACTGACACATCCTTTCTACAATGTCGCTCAGTGCAAGTTTTAACCAGACGTCTTTATTGATGGCATAATGTTCGGAGTACAGTTTAGAACGTCACAAAACTCGTTGGGTGTCGAACAGAAGAATTTACTGAGCGTAAAGTCGCAAAATACAACTTCCAAAAACTAAACAAACCTTAAGAAACACGACAAATTCACTAGAAATAAATAATGCTGAACTACTTCTTAATATCACTTCTACAATATGGAACTGAATACTGGATAATTTTATCAAAAAATGGAGAGAAGATATTATTTTATTGTTATTCTACAGAGCAATGCCGAGAATACCATGGACAAATCATGTGCGTAACGAGAAAGTTTTAAGGAAAATGTAAACAAACTGGACATATATATTTAGAATCAGAAAGAAAATTTAATATTTCTACTACATATAACGAGGAAACAAGGCTTAGAAAAATTAGCACTCATTAGACATACTGAAGAGAAGAACAACAGATCAAACATCGATTATCCTACCTGACGTTCCAAGGTGGGATAACAAAAAAGCAAACAAATTAATTAACGCGTGTGTATGTGTTTGTGTTTGTGCGTGTGTGTGGAATTCACTCCCTGAAGTCCATGAACTCGAAAGTTCGTTGATTCATGTCAGGTTTTACCACATCGATGAGGCGATGCTGGGAAGTCCTATCCAAAGTTCCGCCCTGAGTAAGATTTTATGGGAGATTGGTAGTTTCCTATGCAGCAGGTCTCCCTTCGTCGCGTCGATACTGCTTGGTACTGGCATTGACGCAGCTATTGCTAGAACGAGATTGAATGCAACGTAAGACTACATTTTTGGATTCTGGCACCAGATATTATCCTCAGAGTTTGCCCGTTAAAATATTCCTTATGACTGCATATGGACGCAATGCAATGGCGGTTTAATATCACCGTTTTCCTTTTTCTTAGGTAAACTTCCTTCACAGATTGATGTGGTCTATCCTATCGCTTTCCAGTATATACACCCTTGTGTAAATTAATTTAAACAACTGCTTTAGTTTCGTTTCTTTCAACATTCGGTCAGTTTTAGACACAAGGGAGTGACAGGGTGTAATCGATTTCGATTTTTTTCCTCAGATTAGGTCATTTGCAGTGGTTTGCAGTAATATGAATCTATTTTCATCCTGAAGGATGAAATTTGTTTGGCCCTGAAAAATATTGCTTCAGCCGTGATTGCATTAAATTTTTATCACATCCAGACACTATTGTCTCGGTGTCGATTAGTTGTCCTACGACCATTGTTTGCGATGGATGTTACTCAAAGGAAGCATACGAAAATAGTAACACTGCACGAACACACTGACAAGCTTTACCAGTGAGCAAATCAAAGTACTGTAGACCTTAGAAAAAGAAATTCTGATTTAAATCCAATCGAGAATCTGTGGTCAATCTGCAAGAACAGACTTCGTGGAAAATCAATTATTTCAATTAATTTGCACAAGTGTTTAAAAGGAGAAACTATGAATTGAAGATTATGGGAATCTGGTTAATAGATAACGATTGACCCTAGATTGAAGAAATTAAGATTTTAGTGCCTAAGGAAGTCTATTCCGCAGATTAGCGGTTCTCTAAGCAGAAATTTTCCCAGCGGAACATCCTTCTTATCAATGAAATACGTATGGAATGAGGGGGCTTCTAACGTGTGAATATATCAAGGCAGATCATCGCAGCATAGGTTTGAGCTGGTGCCACTAAAGAGCAGGGCTTATTTAAACATTTGTTATAGAAATAGCGATAGAATAGCGAGTGGCTAGCGACAGTTGCTTTGTGGGAAAGGGACTGAAGAGTTATTCATTACCCACATGGCCGCGTAAACGCATTTGAATTCTGTCATGCCAGGAATATGAGAATTGGACAGGTCCAGGCCTGATATTGCAGCAATACTCCATTTTTGGTCAGATCTGTCTCTTGTAAGGATAATATCTTCTCTGTACCGCGTCCGTTCGACAATCATGGCTCTCCACAACATCTTTCCGTTTGTAGCTCTTAGTAAATTTTGTTATTTTACTATCTCTCCTAATCACTATTCTGCTAACCATGTACACAACCTCGCTAGGGAGGTTATGCGTTTCTTTCCTCTGTCTCTCTTGTTTTCAATATGTCACGTGAGTATCAAACTTTCTAAACACTCTTTCCTAATTATGTCACCTAGAAATCTCAATTCATTTTATCTAACGTTAAGTATGTGTCCTTTGTCTTTCCATTTTCTCTAAAACTTCGTCATTTTTCCCATGTTCAGTTCATATTATTCTCGTCATCCTTCTGTATAACTAAATCCCTGTTGCTTCAAGTCTTTTCTTCATCTGTGACAGAGATTATCTAACCTTCATTACCATATAAGGGCACTGATATTACATAAGAGTTAAGTACTTATTTCTTTGGATCTAACGAGATTTTCCTGTTTCTTAATACTTTGCTTAACATCTTCCACTATCCTAATGCGCCATCGGATTTCCGCATT